GGCTACTCTCAACCCACTGTGTGCCCAGTTTTGCTTTGTAACAAACAACTAGGAACGGAAGACAGTGGAAAAGGACGTTAATCTCTTTTTATACCTAATAAAAACTTTTGAAAATACGATGTTAAGATGCTCTCTAGTGTTGATTTTACAAGTGCCATTTTGAAACAATTTCTAATACTCACAGAATTTCATACATAAAATATGAAACTCTCAATTATACAGCTTTAATTTTAATGCCAAGTAATAAAAGGTTTGCCTAAAATACTTGTAGCAGATATAACTTTCAACTTCTATTCCATAATGTCTTTAGGGACTTGATTGCATCAGAATCATTGAAGATTTAGCACAAGTTCTCAAGAAACAGTCAGGTAATGTTCCTGAAAATTTAAATAAGTGGTTCTGTTTATGTTATTTTAGTTGCTGTAGTGAGAACATTCTGGGATCCTGTAGATAAAAATCATTATCATAAAACTGTATTTGTGAGCTTATGTTAGTAAGAATGAAGCACATGTTGTGAACATTTGGATTTATTTTTGTTTGTCTACATAAGGCTGTGAGGTTATAATGTTATAGGACCACACCTGAATTGGACAGATATTGTGTTTGTAACTTACATGGGAAAGAACAAACTAAATTAAGGCTTGAGGTTTCAAGTTAGTAATTACCTTGTATTTGTAAGCTTGTGCCTAGGAAGTTAGTAGTAAAAGGTAGGCTGATAGAAGTTTGCAATGGGAATTCTGTTTATTCTACAATTATGATTTTCCAGTGCTTGTTTTGCTGTATCTCACGTGAATTTAATATACTTGGAGTGAATTACCAGTGCTCTCAAGTTTATTTTTCTGTAACATTTAGACTGATCTTTGTTTTATTAGGGGGCTAACTACATGTATATTTATCTGTATTGTATTTAGCAGATTCCTCATGTTTGACAAATCCAAAAAAATCAGTATTAAAATATATGGAAATAGAATTCTGGTATCAACCAAGATTTTGGTTTGGAGCATTCTTACTACAGTTTGGAGTTATTTGTAGAGAATTTGATACTGTTACGACTGTATTGCAGCCATTCAGTAATTAAACATTTCATCCTAGGTTTAAGAAATGTCTTGCCTATAACAACTGCTAAAGTCCCAATTGTCAAATTTTTTCATGTCAGAAGTGGTCTTGAAGTAGACATCAGTTTATATAATACTCTGGTAAGGTTATCTCCTTTTTTTTTGTTCCTGTTTAGCGGAAAAATGTGGGTGGTTCCTGAGATTGAAGTGATTATTTTGGTGAGGCTCAATAATCAACTGATTCCAACGACCTTTTGCAGTTTCATATTTCTGAACAACCTTTTTTGTCTATCAGTGGAGTCAGTTACATAATTGTGACTTTAGAGTTGTCACTTCCATAAGAAAGTATGTTAGTTCTAGTGGTTTAGATGTTTAAGTCTTTCTGTAAATGGCAAAGACAAAATAATGTAACTTGAGGTTTCCTACGGTCCGCTTCCTATCATGGTTTTTGCTTAGCCTTGAGAACTGGTACAGTGATTTTGAACCCAGCTTTCCTGAATGGGAACGTATGTTAGAATTTAGAAAACAACGTAAGTTCTTGGCTAAATATTTTGAAAACATTTTTGGTGTTTTGTTTCATTGTTTTTTTTCAATGCCTCTGAACTTTGAAAGTCAGTTCCTTGAAATATCAAAATAAAGTAAGTTTTAAGCCAAGTATTTCAACTTCCTGAAGTTTTTGTATGAGCTCAAGGAGAGTCTTGAGAAAGATACCTCAACTAATAGGTCTGAAGCTTTTCTTCTTGAAGTTATTTATCCATATGGTCCAGTTGATAGGTCTTGCATTTCTAGGCTGAAGTATCTTAGTTCAAAAACTTAAAGTGTTTTGAAAATGGAGTAGTAGATCAATGCTTCCCTTTCTGAAGCAGTGTTCAGTGAGTGCTGCTTTGTACCACTTCTCTGCAGACTAAGGATATCGATCAGCTTTTTAGCAGAGCAGGTGATAACCTTGTAGTTCAATGCTGCCCTTCGTTCCGCTATGCAGTGCTTCACAATGGCATTTCCTGATCACACAACATAGAGTTTCTGGTTTTCATGTTTTCAGCTTATTCCTTCATCTCTTCCAGAGCTCCTGCATTTTCTTTATGACTTTTTTATCTTTATAGGCCTTGCATAACACAAGACTCCTGTCATCATACGCAGCCATTGATCCTAGAGTAAAATATCTGTGTTACACAATGAAGGTCTTTACAAAGGTAAGTGTATTTCAGACATTCTAGAAGCACTAGTGCCTGCAGCGGGAGACAGTAGACATAGGAGACATAAATTGTGTTTCTTTTTCTAGATATGTGACATTGGAGATGCATCTCGAGGTAGCCTTTCTTCATATGCATATACTCTTATGGTGCTTTATTTTCTTCAGCAGAGAAATCCACCTGTCATTCCTGTTCTTCAAGAGGTACAGTATGTCAAGAAAGAAACACGTATCCATATGCAGTGTTGACCAGAAGGATGTCGGTGCTGAATCTGAAGGGCTCTTCTAATGAATTTAATATTATGTTTTCAGATCTACAAAGAACCAAAAAAGCCTGAAATTTTAGTTGATGGCTGGAATGTTTATTTCTTTGATAAGATAGAGGAGTTGGTGAGTAAACTACGTTAATTTGAAGTAGTGTTACATATAACTTTGCAAATGAAGAAGAATTCCTTTTAAGAAACGTCCTCAGATATGGAAGTTGAGTATAGAAATGGAAGAAGCTCTTGCTTTGAAAATCCCAATTCCATGCTGTAAAGCTTTAAAAATAGTGTTGATTGTAATTCATCTGAGGAAAAACAAGTGTGCAAAATATTCAAAAATATATTTAAAAATATTTTAAGAAGTTAATGATGATTAATTGCTCTGTGTGTCACATTACTGGGTGGAAATAACTCACATAAATACCAGCTGCATATCTAGTCATAGCTGCTTAATCCTTTTGAATAGTCGTGCATTAAATAGGCACAAAAAGTGAATTAATAAATTCTTTTCTGTAACAAGCAAAACCTAGTGTTAGATATTTTATTAATAGTGCACTTATGTTAATATGTTTTCTAGATACAACATTTAAAAATCAATATTGGATGGTTAATACCAATTATGAAAGGAAGTATTCTGGTATAGAATCATAGAATCATAGAGTGGCCTAAGCTGGAAGGGACCTTAGAGATCATCTAGTCCAGCCTCCCTGTCGCCAGGGACGCCACCTCTGGACTAGATCAGGCAACACATGATAATTCAGTTTTGTTTCTTTATAAAATAAGAATTAGATTGTTTGAGTTTCCAAGTTAGGAAGATTATTCTGCTTAATGTTAGAACTGGAAGTGAAAATATTTCTGTCATTTTCAGTCAGTTGTTTGGCCAGACTGTGGCAAAAACACAGAATCTGTTGGGCAACTATGGCTGGGACTTCTCCGTTTCTACACGGAAGAATTTGATTTTAAAGAGCATGTTATCTGCATTAGGAGAAAAAATCTGCTTACAACTTTTAAGAAGCAGTGGACCTCCAAATACATTGTAATCGAAGGTAAAAGCGTGTGAATTACATGAATATGTGGAATTTCTGTAATGCCCACATGAAAAAGTTGGTCTTTCCACAAGGCATTTTTCTATTACTAGATTGTAATTTGTAGTTTTCTTATGTTTTGAAATCATTGCAAAAATCTCATTTTATTTCAGTAATGTTAAAAATTATTCTTAGTTGTTTTTTTTAATTGACTGAAAAGAGGCTGCAAAGTAGACTTCATACTTTTCATGATTACAGTAGCTGACAGAAAAATAGATTTGACCAAATCTTTTGGAAAAGAAATTAGCTGTAATGCAGTTTTGGTCTTCTCTCAAATACTACGTTTAGCTGAGTCCATATTTACATGAGTTATTTAAGCCTGTGTATGGTTACACCGATAAGTAATACCTTGTTCTTTATCTCTAAATGCAGTGTTCCCTAGACCACTTTCTGGCCCCTATGAGTCATGGAAAATACTTCTGCGCTCTTGCCTGCACGTTCAGCTTATTCTTTTAGAACACTTCAGTCAGTTCAGAGCTAGACAGCTGTGATCCTTTGTCCATAGAGTTAATTTCTTTTCAATACACTTGCAGACAGTTTAGTTTTAGTATATTAATTCTGCACCAGGAATAGCTGCCTTGGGTTGCTCATGAGTGTGTATACATTGCTGATCTTGCCCTGGACTTGACTAATGCCTGAAATGCTTTTCGTACAGACCCCTTTGATTTGAATCACAATCTTGGAGCTGGATTGTCAAGAAAAAGTAAGTCACTCGGTAAAAAATTTGGTGAAGATCTTGTCTTAGATCTTGTTTTACTGGCTTGTTTGATATTTAGATGATGTTTTCTTTCTTTTTCTTTTCCTTCCCCAGTGACAAATTTTATAATGAAGGCTTTTATCAATGGCAGAAGGGTATTTGGTACCCCTATAAAAATATTTCCTAAAGAATATTCATCAGAAATGGTAAGTTGTTTTTTAGGAGCAGTATGTACATGTTCTTGAACATATAACTTGCCAATTGCAGGACTACGGTTACACTCTCTCTAAGCTCTTATCTCTTAAATTTCAACAGTACTCTAAAAATATTTTGAGTAGGTATGCGAAATACTAATCAAGTCAGAGCTTCATTGTACAGGCTTATGTATTTCACTCCCTATCAAAACAGCCTTACCACTTCTTAAAAGTGCAGTATTAAAAAAAGAGCTTGCAGACCTGGTGGTCAGCAGGCTGCCTGTAAAGAAGAACCCAGTGACCAGTTAATCTGATCAGGAGCTTCTGGAGTTCAGCAACACACACCAGGTTTATTCTCTGTAAATCTTACTGCTGTTTAACCCTTCCTTATCTGTCTTGATTTCCAACTGCATGGATTTTCATTTTAAATACACGATTTCTTCTTCAGGAGTACTTTTTTGATCCAGAGGTACTAACGGAAGGAGAATTGGCACCAAATGATAGATGCTGCAGAATTTGTGGTAAAATTGGCCATTTCATGAAAGATTGTCCTGTGAGAAGAAAGTAAGTATAGTTTTGGCATCTGTGTACAGCTTTTCCTTAGGTTTGTTTAGAAGAAGTAATAGGGTAGCAATGCTAAAACAAAACTTGTACATGCTGCAGATTATTTCCTTTACTGTTGAAATGAAAATGTGTCAATACCAATTTTGACAGTGGTGAATGATTAATTTTTGGTCTATATTGATTCACTACTTAATTTTTGCGCATCATCAGGGTTTTTTAATAGAAGCTTTTCAGAAGGCTGCAAAACTACTCAGCTTAAAGTAGTGGTGCAGACTCTGCACTTTATTGTATAGGAGAGCGGTAGTAAAAGAAAGTCTAAAATGCAGAGCTGAAGAGCTGTGTGCTGTGAAAAGCCCTCCTGAAAGCATTTTCTAGATTTTCATTTAATAGCTTCTACTTCTGGCACATTTTTGTCATGTTCAGTTTCAAGCAAGTCCTGTCAAAAAGCGAGAATGTCACAGCACTGTTCTCATGTATGTGCTTAAAAAATAATGTCCTGGTTTACATCCAAGATAAGGTTTCCTGATCCTGAGTAACCACATATCCAAAATTCAGCAACTGTCTTCATGTAACAAATGAAATCATGGAATGGTTTGGGTTGGAAGGAACCTTAAAGATCGTCTAGCTCCAACCTCCCCTGCCATGGGCAGGGACATCTCCCACTAGACCAGGTTGTTCAGAGCCCCATCCAGCCTGGCCTTAAACACTGCCAGGGAGGGGGCTTCCACAACCGCTCTGGGCAACTGTCAAAATTTAAGGATGGGCCAGCCACTAAACTCTGACAGGTGCTCTCTGTGATCCTCCCACAACCCTTGCAGGGGAGGATGACAGGGGAACCAGGGAGAGAGACTTTGAGGTTGGAAAAAAAGAAATTGAATCAGTTTAATGAAAAAGAAAATTAATACTAACAATAACAATAAAGAGGCTGAACTATATACAGATAACATACAAGTATGTAACCATATTCAAAGATATAAATGAATATATTAATACGGAACCTCCACCTTCTGGATGGCAACTAGGCCCCAAGAAGAGAAGTCTCAGACTGGACTTGGCAGCAGATGGGAGCACCCAAGCCCAGAGTCAGGATAATAGTAAAAAAAAAAAAACCCAGAAAATGAAGCCTTGGAGCAGCCACACTGCTCCCATTTTGGGAGGCAGGTGAGGACAACTTGTCCTGATGAATGATGGTGCTCTGCAGCATGGATACAGCAGGCAGGAGCTCCAGCAGTGCAGGGAGGAGACAAAG